CCCCTGCCGCTAGGCCTAAAATATTAGCTGCAAGGAGAAGGCGAACAATTGGGAGGTGGGCTGCGCAGCGGATATGCTTTGCTCTGGCTGCAAACTTCAGGGTGGACAGCGTCTCGCCGAAGCACATGGCCTTACAAGTGCAACTCCAGCAGCATGCTTGTCGGATTTCATTGATCCCAGCTTGGGCCCCGACAGATGGACTGATGCAAGCAACGATGACAGTCTTGGAGTTTCCACCGAGAGAGTCGCGAAGAAGAAAAGTCAACTTGCCTGGCAGCAGTGTGGACAAAAAGTAGGACAGTAGTGTTGAGATCCTTCACAGCCGTCACACCGACCCAGCACAGGCAGGAGTGCTATCCCGATACCGGACGAAGGGCTGGCGTTGCCTCAGCAAAAAAAAAAACGCAGCCCCTCAAATAGGCTCCGTTCCAAAGCAAGGTTGACAGGCTGTGCTTGGAGGCCATGGCCCAGCCGAGGATTTTCGCCGACTGCGCGACAAGGACCTGGGATCTGCATCGAACAGAGCTCGGCTGGGATGCCAGCCACTGCAGTATTAGCAGCAGGCATTATCACGTTCGTGAGGGCACTGAGGCTTCTGTTGATCGCACCCGCCTCCTTCACCCGGATGCTCTCGTGCTGCGCAGGGAGAGTTGTAGACAAGACAAGCCGGGTACAGCGTTGAGCAGGAAAGGGTGGGGCAGACCGCCGAGGGATGGTGAGGATCAAAGGTTTGACGCTCAGACCCAGCCAAGTCGATGAGGTTGAGCCTGCAGGGATCTGCGTTCATTCAAGCAGAGGGGCAAACAAAGATACCAAGATTGCAGCAACTGTGCTCACCTCGCAACTCTCGTGGACGTGACACCACCGGCAGTGGTGCTGGAGGCTTCGACTTTCAGAGTAAACACAGAGTGCGACCTGCAGTTCAACCCGTTGCCAAGGAAATTTCTGTCGGCATTGTAGTCCTGCCTGGAACTGAGCTCGTTCATCTGCGTGGATGCCACGTGTCGCTGATGGAGCCCCTGTGAAGAAAGACGGGTGGAAGACCAAATGCACAAAATCCTGAAAGTGTTGGCATCAATCCCGCAATCACTTGCGACTACAAAAAAGCTACCTCAAATAAAAAACATCGCCTGCGACTACAAACAGGGTCAACTCGGGAACCCAAAGCCCTTCTGCGGGGGCATTTTCCGAGTTCGCTGGCTGATTGGGGTCTACTTGCGATCCTTGAGATGCAGCTGCTGGCAGCTAGGCAGGCTACACAGGCGGGCATCCTCAGATTTTGCAGGCCAAAGGCTCTGGAAGAATCATCATGCACAAGGTTCGAGAGAAGAGGACTGGCTGTCACAACCTTATGTTCTGCTGTACTCGCGACCCCCCCCCTCTGAGATGTAACC